CCTGTCCCCTCTCCCTAGGGTTGGGGGTGATGCCCCTGTCCCCTCTCCCTAGGGTGGGGGGTGATGCCCCCAGCACCCACCTCCGGGCTCCAGCACCAGCTCTGCAGCCATGATGCTGGAAAGCTGGCGGTGCAGGGCAGAGGGTCCCAGGGGACCAGCCCCTGCCCCCTGCTCGCCACCCAGGGACAGCAGGTACTTTTCAGGGACGTAGCCAACCTGGCCCGCCTTGTTCCGAGCCTGAAGGGGGAGAAAATGCATGATTGTCCCAGCCTCCAGGGCCAGGAGAGCCCTGGGGACCTCTGAAACATGTCCCCCACTGCTGGGAGCTGGGGGGGGTGGGGGGCTCAGCCATCTCCCACCTTCACCCATTCCTCTGCGTCACCCTCCTCGATGACCTCCAGCTCCTCTCCCTGGGTGATGGACAGCTCATCTGCCTGGCAGCCCTGCAGGGGACAGGGGACAAAGTGGTGGGGAGGCTGGGGCTGCAGGAAGGGGGTCAGGCTGGGGCTGGGGGGACAGCTGTGGCTGTACCTGGTAACCGAAGATCACCCGGCAGGTGTAGGGGTAGGTGCGGGCAGCAGGGCCGGGCCCATTGTCCTCATCTGTCTCGTCACTGTCCTCGTAGTCATCAAACTCAGCTGGATCCAGCCCGGGGGGTGTCTCCTCACCTGCCCCCACCATGGCCCCTGCCAGCCAGGCCTCCACATCCAGCCCTGCTTCTCGCAGCAGAGCCAGCCGTGCCTCTGCCTTCACCCGGCTGACCTGCGGTGGTCGGGGAGGGGACACGGTCATGGCCTCAGGGGACACCTCTGGGGTGGGGGGACAGCCCAGCAAGCCTTGTTGCTCCAGGTCACTTCCCACGGTGGCCAAGCATCCCCAGCATCACATCTGCAGCACCATGTTCCCCATCCCTGGGCGCCCCCCTCCCCCAGGAAGGTGACAAATCTGAAGGTCACCCTGCTCCTCCTACCCAGGGGAACCCACCTCCACCTTCCGGATGTTTTCCCTCGCTTCTTCCACCTGCCTCTCCACGGCAGCCACCTCTGCCTCCCGGGCCCGCTCCTCGAGCCTCTGCAGCACCTGGGCGGGCACCCGCAGGTCAGCGAGGTGGTGGGAACCATGGGGGGAGGGGGGTGGCAGGAAAAGCCCCTCCCTGAGCCCCCCTCTCCGTGCCTCTTGGGACGGGACAGCACCCACCTCCTCGCAGTGTGCCCTGTGCTTGCGGTCCCGGGCCAGGCGCGTGGCCCAGCGCCGTGCCTCCTTCTCCAGGCTGGCCCCGTCGTCCCCGGGGGGCAGCAGGCACACCTGGGTGAGGGGGGGAGCTGAGAAGGACTCTGCAGATCCCCCCTCTCATGCCAGAATGTCACAGAACCATGGGATTGTTTGGGTTGGAAAAGACCTTTCAGGTCATCCAGTCCAACTGTGCCCCCAGCCCTGCCAAGGCCACCCCTGCCCCGTGTCCCTCAGCACCATCTCCAGGGCTTGGAAACCCCTCCAGGGATGGGGACTCCCCCCCTGCCCTGGGCAGCCTGGGCCAGGCCCTGACAACCCTTGCCAGGCAGGAATTGTTCCCCAGATCCAACCTCAACCTCCCCTGGCACAACTTGAGCCCATTTCCTCTTGTCCCACCCCTTGTTCCTGGGGAGCAGAGCCCGACCCCCCTGGCTCCAACCTCCTCTCAGCAGCTGCAGAGCCAGCAGGTCTCCCCTCAGCTCCTGCTCTCCAGGCTGGGCACCCCCAGCTCCCTCAGCTGCTCCTGCTCACACTTGTGTCCCCTCCCTCCACCTACCTCCTCCATCCCAGCGAGATGGAGGTGCTGCTGGAGGGCCAGGGCAAAGGCAGGGTGGTCCTGCAGGAAGAGGAAGAGGTCCTGCTCCCGGGAGACCTGCGGCAGGGAAGCAGTGTGGGGTCAGGGGGGTCAGCCGGTTCCCTACTGCCCGTCCCCCAGCGGGAAAGCTGCTGTTACCCGCCCAGATGCCTCAGCAATGCCCTGGAACCATTCCTGCGTGGCCCGGCAGGGCTCCACTCCCGTCTGACTGGCCGGCGACAGGG